ACGTATCTAATGTTTGACAATTGTTACCAATAAAAACAATATTCAAATATCGTCACGTAAAAGATTGTAAAACGACTGCCATTAAAAATATTTGATGTCTACATGAGATTCTATATAGACCGACTATTTCATATGTTTATAAATAAAATGCAACAATAAGAGTGACTTCATTTCATTTGTAAAATCACCTTATTTTCATTCTTGATTGTAATGTGTCTATTATGATGGTGGACAAATTATATTTATTCATTCATTTTTCTACATTTTTCTTGGAATTAAACTCTCATCATATTACCCCAAGTAGCTTACAATTATTTACGCCGCGTACAATTTAGTCACATAAGTCTTTATTACGTTTCACAAATTTAGAATGTTTGAAACGAAAAGATAAAGATTTCGGATGTATTATTAACTAAAATCAGCTTCTGAAAAAACCATGATATTTTTATTTGAATTTACAGCAAAGCATAAATAAATCAAATATAGATATATATTCATATATTAGATTATATTACATATATATTATTATATTATTATATATATTATTATATATTATATTATATTATTATTATATTATTATATATTATATTATATTATTATTATATTATTATATAATATATTATTATTCATATATTATATAGATATATATTCGTATGTTCATTTTTCTATAGCCTCATTTTTCTATTTCGTTCAATTGTCAGATATTATACATATCCAGATAAAAATGTTTATTCTCTGGGTCCAAGCGGACCCGAGACCCGCCATCAAGGTGCTAATAAGAAGTAGCAATGCAAAGTCTTTTACAAAATAATAAATGGCGCGAATTTATGGGACGATCGAATAATTTCACGTCGTATTTTTTCCCGTTGCAAAAGCGAATTAATTTATCGCTCGAGATTCGCGAAAGGAAAAACAGAGCACAGTTCTTAGATAGTTACGCAAGCCGCATTGATTCGCATCCTGGAAGGGCTGAAAGCAAGAAGCGATTCAGAGACAGGGGGGGATCGAAGGAATTCGCGAGAACGGCGTTATATGCGTAGGCGAACCGTGAGAACGGGCAGGTGGTATCTTGTCGTGGTGGTCGACGATTCACACTTCCAACTCATTCTCTTCTGGTGACAAGAAAACCAAAGTGACGGTACAGGGCCGCTTTTATCGTGTCTTTCCTTTTTCTCAATAGATGCTACGACGTGCCACGAGTAGACTGCTGATTTTCTCGTCGTTACTCCGAATCTATCACTTATCAACTATAGCAGAGAGTTCTTTATCCGAACATTAATTTTTATAATATCCTGGTATCCAAACGTTCCATGATCGAATCATTTCATATTATTAAGATACATTATCGTCTAATAGATAACTCGAATGAAATTTTTAGATAATAGGATGCTTAGGTATCCGGATATTACAAAAATAAACGCTCAGATAAGAGAGTCCCTACTGTACTTATTTTTTCTGTTACAGTCGTTACTGAGGTTGGTATCTTCATCATTTTATTTATTGAATCTACAAAATATTTACAAAAGAGTATTCGTACTCTTTCTACTAATCTATTAAGAGTACTCGTGCTCCATGTTGTGAGATACGTTTAAATCGTCTAAAAGCGAGAACGGCGAAAGTTCGAAGTAATTAGAACCTGTGGAATTAATTAATCTGACACTTTCCTTGAATTGTAAACGATTAGAAATCATTGGCGAGCGATTAATTTTTCAGGGCTTAACTAGCAAATGAAGTATCCATTGTGTAAAGAGTTTCTTGGTTTCTCTGTTCTTAGAAAGCATAATCATGATCGAGAACGATTAGATAATAATGATGTGTGACAAAATTTTGATAACTGTACAATTGTTAAACTATTTCGTTCCCTGAAGAATAACGTTTATTTATAAAATGACGAAGCAAATAATTTATTAATGCGCGATTCTATTGGTAAAAAATTTTCAGAACAATTAAATAATATTGTTAATATTATAATTTTGGTTTATTCAGTGTCATCGTTTTCAAACGTGATTTTACAAAAATTTAGAATAGGAGAAAAAACTTTCGTCAACTGGAATATCAATCATTGTAAGAAGAAATTAAAAATGCTACTAGAAATTGTCGATCGATGCCTTTTTTTTGTATTTCAAAGATCTGCATATGTCATAAATACGTAAAGATACGTGGTCTAGTTATCATCTAAAAGATTTTGTACATGTCGGTGATATAATCGACAACAGTTTTCCCAGGATTTGTGTGTTACATCGGTAGTTAAGGTGCGACTATTGTTAATCAGTGTTTAGGAAGAAATCAAATTTGTGTAAATATACGTTTCACGGGACCCATTTCACTCGATAAAGCGTACAATACACGCACCGTCGCGTTGAGAGGGAACACAAGCCGAGTTTCTTTTGAAACGGAGCCGTCCCTGTCGTCAACCGCCCGCGCAAGAAACGGTGTGGGGGATAAAAGGTTTCCTTGTTTAACAAAATATCGTCTCCGAGCCATTAGCCCGACCGTTGCCACTTCAACGCGATTTTCTGCTCCTGCCACGTCGAGGATGTGCTTCAGGATCTGCGGATCCTTCGACCTATCAAGTGCAGACTGCTTGCTTTTCCCCGAGCGGTGTCGATCCGATGCAGTTAAAATTAATTTTTTCTGTTTACCACTTCCTCTCTCTTTTGACATTCTCATTTCTTTTTTCGCGGGCTCGATGCATTTTGGAAATATTATACCATCAAATTTCATACATTTTCGTGATTGCAACTGTTCGATGCGGACATTCAAATTTCACGGTTAAACAATTTGTTAAAGCTTATAACATCGGAATGTGTAGAACTGTGCGATGTTATATGTAATCGATAGATTCCACTTGTTTTTTCATTGTTATTTATTTGATATAATCCTCGCCTTTCGGCTTAGAATTGCTTCCGGCTTACAACTTTCTTTTTCTTACATACTACTTAATACTTGATACTGAAAACTTAAATTAAGTTATACTATTTTTCTATGAAACTATAAATCTATTTAATTTTTCCCTTTTTCACTGCCCCTTTGATTTCTGTTTTGGTTTTGAACCTGTGAGTCTTCTATTTTTTTATCTTGTTTTTCCTTTTTTCTTCTCTCTCTCTCTCACACACACTCTCTCCTTATTAGCTTATACAAAGTTATAAAAATGAAAACTAAACATGCATTCGATTTTATAATTAACACTGGAGCTGGTTTTTTCTTTCACATTTACTGAA